GGCTCTTTATCAAACATTTCAGCCTTTCTGAAAAGCATGGCTTGCTTACTTTAGAGTAGTCCTGCTAAGCTAAAAGGAAGAGGCCACAGATTCAATGGGTTGCCAGACTATAGATGCAAAATTGGGTCAGAGCAGTACTGGGTTCTGAAAAGAATCAAGGCTTAGGCCCCCAGGACAACAAAACAACAAAAAGCACACCTCTGCATGTGCTCTAAAGTCTGTGAAAGTATCCTTAATAGACCCTACCCTGACAAACACCCCTATTTGTAAAAGGGTGGAGGGAGGCATTTGATTTCAGGGGAAAAAACCTCAAGCAGAAAGATTCAAGGAGAGAGAGAGAGAGAGAGAGAGAGTTGAGGGGTGCAAATGGAGGTGAAGCACATGTGGGCCCAAAGTCAGCTAACCCAGGTGATCAGATTCAGCAGAAATCACCAGGGGCCCTGGATGTTTATTTCAGCAAGTGCCCATGGACAGCAGGGTGGCCTCCCAGAGATTTGGGACCCAAGACCCAACACCATCCAGGAAATTATGTATACTCAAGGAAATGTTACTGGGACAAACCAGTAAAGTGTAAAAAAAATCCAGAAGATTATTGTCCCTGTCTGTAAACCACACTCAGATGTAGCCAACTAAGCTCTACTTAGAATAGACTCATTGAAATAAATGGGACTTCAGTTTGCTTGGGCCTGGACTTCTACTTTTATAATCCAGTCCAAAAAGCATCACTCGGAAAGAGGGAGCCAAAGAGACCTGACTTTATGTACATCTGGTAACTGCATCTGTCAGTTTTAATCTAGAAGCAAACACAGGAGGACTGATTCGGATCATAAAAGTGCTCCCCTTAGATCGGACCGCTGCATTTATTTAGAGCAAAAACACTCTAGTTTAAAAGGAATACATGTTAGACATATGTCTGAAGCCATGTTTTTGGCCTACCTCGAAGTCACAGGCGTTGGCCACACGAGTTGAACCCAAACCAGAGTCGCTCAGGCCTGCCAGTCGGACCGACGCTACCTCGAGTTACGCGCAGCGTTCCGGGCTACAGTCGATCCCGTCGCACTGACTCAAAGGAAACCACGCGGTGAGTCCCACGGGGATGGGGGCTTCTCTCCGCCGGGTACGGAGACTGCGGCCTTTGCACGCTGCGGATAATTGCGTCTACTGAAATAGCAAGGCTAACGGGCTGGGCCCTCTCCCAGCAACACTGAACACAGCACGGGTGGGTGGAACAAGCGCGGCCACGATCCAGCCAAGCGCGTATGTATTTATTCCATCTTTAGACTTGCCCAGCAATATGAGCAACCCCGTTGGATTTCGGCGGGAGAGAAGCGGCCGCACGCCCTAAGTTCTCCCATACCCAGCAATGGGACTTCGGGCTTCGGCCGGCGTATCTCAGTCGTACCTCCGCCTAGGTGCCCCTCCCCGTCAAGGGCGCAGTGACGCTCGCGGTGGAGGAAGAAACCAGCGCGGCTGTGAACGATCCTGCAGCTTCGGGAGGCCTACCGCCACAGCTCACGGTCTGGCTGGCTAAGGCGCCGCGCTCAACCGCGGCGGCCTCTCATGCACGCCAGCCTTCCCCAGCCTGGCACCTTCCAGGCATGTTGGAATGCAGCGCCCATCAGCCCCTGCCAGCATGGCCCATGACCCAGGATAACGGGCGCTGTCGTCCATCCGGAGGACCTCGGCCTAGGGAAGTGGGGTGCATTAGCAGCTCCCGTGCCCTGCCTGCGCGCTTCGCACCTGATGGGCCCCGAGCGCTGGATGCGGTGGGCCTCGGGTCTGGGCGAGCAGCGCGGCTGCTCTTGCGGCCTTAGGCCTCTTCTGCTGGGATGCGCGTGCTTCATGGGGTAGGCCACTGCCTCTTCTCCAAGGACGGGCCCCTCGCCTCCCCTCGTCATGGATCTCCCCTGAATCTCGGGGCAAGAGAGACACTTGATAGTGTTCCGACGTCCCTTTCTCTCCCGAAGATACGGAACCGCCCCAAGCACTCTACCGCCGCCCTTTGAGACATAATCCTATGTAGGTTTAGACTGGAAAAAAGACAGTGCTGACTGGGGAATGCTGGGAGTGTCAAGACTTTCATGCTCCTGTTTAAATATGCTTAAACGTGGATCCTTCACCTTCCCCAGCCCAGCGCCCGCACGACGTATTGGGCTGCTACTCCCATCAGCCCTGGCTTAGAATTATGGGAGTTGCAGGCAAAACACATCTGGGAAGGCCGTTGTGGTTACTGGCGCTCTCTCCTAGCCAAAGGCAACCTCAAGCTTCTTCGGATTTAGGCCTCCTTCAAAACCAGAATCCGGAGAAGCGCCTCCCACAAACGCGGGCACCGGGAGCCCCTCTGCTCGTGCACTTGGAGCCAAAAGGCCCTTCATCCCTCAGTGTATTACCTTCTGAAGGGTGACTAACTGGGATTGTCAGCCTTATTCAGGCTTCCCCGGCTCCAGGCATTTCTCGAAGGAAAAGGAAAAGAGAAAGCAAAACAAGGCAACGAAAGAAAGAACGCAGCAAGGGCCGATGCAGATTTAGCTACGCTGAGAGAAGTGGGAGATAGGAGAATCATAATATCTCGTGTATCTCATTGATTTCAATGGACATGCTCTTGTGGATCCAACCTAAGTTATTTATGATTACAGATTTATTAGGGGTGTAGTCCTGTGCGTGGGTAGACAGAAAAGTAAGTCCTTCACTACCCAGCCAGCCAGTTGAGACACTCCTGACTGGGGAATGCAGAGAAGTGAGCAGGACTGCACTCTAGTTCGTTTCTTTTTTCACTATAATCCTGGTATAAGCACAAATGCCATAATATGTCACTGTCTGGTATATCTGTTCCCAGTGGCCAATTTTGAGGCTCAAATCTCTCTCCACTTCAAAACTCTAGAGCAAAGGGTTATTTATGATCAGATGGTGTGAAGACTTCTCCAGACAATATTTTTTCCCAAGTGAAGACTGGGAGAGAGGACATTTCTCAAACTGAGGAGCAGTGAAGATTGACAAGACTTCTGATTCAGTTATGAAGTACTGTGTGTGTATACCTGTACAACATTCAGGTTAATAATAGAAATAATATTTGTAAAAGCTACTCTGGTTTATTGCTTATAGTGTTTGGCTTTGTCCAGGTTCTAGTCTCCATTTGGCCATGACACTCACTGGTGTTTTTGAGCTAGTCACTGACCCTTAGCCTAATCTACCTTAGCGGGTTATTGTGAGGATAAAATCAAGAGGATGAGGATCCTGTAAGCTATCCTGGTTTCCTTGCAAGAGTAAAAATTGGGGTATAAATATAATTAAATCAGAACAGAAGGCCTTATTTGGTTCTTCTAGTACTGCTAATTTTCTCAGAAAATGATTATTCATTTTGGAACTTATTCCGAAAAGTTCAAGGAGATGCCCTTGCTCTCAAATTGTCTCTCACTGGTGCTCTTCTTCCTCTCCTACAGCTATTAAGACAATAGATTCCATGACTAGGGATTGTTAAACCCATGACTAGGTCCAGCTGTCTGCTTATCCCATACCTACTTCAGTGTGACCCTAGACATGTCTGTTCAGAAAAGAGTTCTGTGGGCCTTATTCCCAGCTAAGAAAAGAGAGGATGGGAAGAAGGGGGAAAGACATGCAGCCTGATCTCAGGCATGTTTACTTAGAAGTAAGGACCACGGGCTCAAAATGACGCCCTCCAGAAGTTTTGGAATAAATGGCAGTTTCTCTGTGTGGAAAGATGTCAGCAGTGGAGTCCTGCCAGATTCTGTATTAGCACCAACACTTTTCAACCTATTCATACATTATCTGGAATTAGGAATGGGAGGTGAAGTAGCCAAGTTTGCTGACCACACCAAACTATTTAGGGTGGTTAAAACCAAAAGGGATTTTTCCAAGCTGAGAAGAGAAACATCAAAATGGCAAATGCAGTTCAGTGTAAGCAAGTATAAAGTAATGCATGTTGAGTCAAAAAAATCCCAGTTTCACGTATACACCGGTGGAAACTGCAATAGCAGTGACTGAGCATGAAGGGGATTTTGAGGTAGTGGTGGACAGCTTAAATATAGTGTCAGCCCAGTGCTCAGCTGCTGTGAAGAAGGCAAATTCTGTCCTAGACATTAATTATTTATTTATTTATTTATTTATTTATTTATTAAAACATTTCTATGCCACCCTTGCCAAAGCCTCGGGGTGGCTCACAACACAAAATAAAATACAATAAAATACAAAAATAACAATATAAAATTAACAATATAAAATAAATAACAATATAAAAGAAGTCGCCCTGGGAACACAATTAGGAACACAATAGAAAATAGAGCTGACAAAAGCTCACCTCCCTTATACAAATTTTTGGTGCAACCACACATGTTCCATTCTGGTTGCTGGATCTGAAAAAAGACATTATTGGATTGGGGGAAGTGCAGAGAAGGGCAATGGAAATGAACTGGAGTGGGGGGAACAACTTCCCTGCGAGGAGCAGCTACAGCAACTGGGCTGTAGAAAAACCCTGAGGAAAGGGAGACATGATAGATGTGTTGAAAATAGTACAGGTTGGAGAGAGAGAGCTTGTTCTCCCTTTCTCATAACACTCAAAAGCAGGGTCATCTCATGCAGCTGATTGGTGGGAGGTTTAGGTCAGATGGAAGAAAGCACTTCTTCAGTCCGGTGGGGTACGTGGGGGGAGAGTGAAAAACCTCGGGCAAAGGAGCGCGCGCAGGGGAGGCCCGTGCGGAGGAGCAGGCAGCGGACGCGCGGGGCTCGCGGGGCAGCTGCCTCCCGGGGCCCCGGGGCGCAAGGACGGGCCCGGGCCCGCGCCGCCTCGCTGCGGCTCGCGCGCGGCTCCAGGGGGCGCGCTGGGGGGGTGGCCCGCCGCCCCCGCCGCGAAGGGCGCTGCTCAATGGGCCGCGGCGACCCCGCCCTCCTTCCGGGGCCGCCCATGGGCGCCGCAGCCCGCGCGGGGCGGAGCCTGCGGCTCCTTGCCTGGCGCCCGGCGTCCTTCGCTGGAGGCTGCAGGCCGGATGGAGGCGCAGGCGGCGCGCGAGCGGCGGGCCAACCTGCTGAGCAGCGCGGCCGCCGCGGGGGACGCGGCCGCGGTGCGGAGGCTGCTGGACGGCGGCGCAGACCCCAACGGGGTCAACCGCTACGGCCGGAGCGCGATGCAGGTAGAGGCGCCGGCGGGTGGGCCGCGGGCCGGCGGGCGCTCGGCAAACGCTCCGCGCAGAGCGGGGCGGCCGCGCCGCCGCCTCCCGCGGCCGCCGTTTGAGACCCGCCGTCGAGGCACGCGGCCTGCTTGCCCGCCCTGCACACGGGCGGCCGCACTTCGGAGCGGACCCGCGCCGCCTCCTTCCTTTTTCAGTCCTTCCCTCCCTCCCTTCCCAACGCTGCCATATACCGCCGGCTACCGAGGTCTCGGCACGGTCTTTATTTCCACGCACAGTTCCAAAAATAAAATACAGGTTCCCGAATCTGGATAATCTGATTGCTAACCGTTGCTAGACCGTGGGTCGTCTTCGCGACCTCTTCTCCTTGCTCGGCTTAGGGTCTCAAAAAATGTATTTCGCTCCGGCTTCGGAAGTAACGGGGGGGGGGGATCGTTTCCTTAACGAATCCGCGCGTTACGCCCCGCGTAAGCCCCGCTCGCTCCGCCTGGCGCTCGGGCGGCCTGCCCTGCCGCGCGCGCTGCTTGCGGGGTCGCCCTCGACCCGCCCCGAGCGCTCCTCGTTGCCCCGGAGCCCCCGCCGCCTTCGCGGGCGCCGCGCCGGCCGGTCCCGGCGCCCGCGGGGTCCGGCTGCCCTCTACTTCGAGGGGGCCTCTCGGCCACTTTCCGCCCCGGACAGATTCGACGGTTGTTCTTGTCACTTTTTCTGAAGAACGGAGGCGGAATAAAACGATACCGTTTCTTTTAAAGAAAAGTTTCTTTTCTTTAATACGAGGTGTGCAAAGTAACCTCCGTACAGAGTAACCTCTGACCCAAAAACGGTCAGAATTTTTTTTTGGGGGGGTAGCTACTTAGATTTCATTGGATTACATATCCCTCCTAAGAAATTCTGGAGTAGAATTCATTTTATTGCCATGGCAAAGTGGGAATAAATGGAGGTGGGGGGAGAGGCAAGTCTCAGTGGCACAGGGCTTCCAACAAGCCTCCACCTCTCCGAATATACCACGCTTTCAAACTTGGGGGAAATTGTATCCATATCCTTATAGAATAATCTGGAATCTAAATACTCATAGACAATAACTTTGCCTGAAAGCTGGGTGTATACATAGTTACAGACCTCCATTATATTTAAGTTTTTAGTTTTAGTTTAGTTTCACAATTAGATTTTAGTGTGGAAAAATAATAGCCCTTTGTAAATCAAAAAACTATTCAAATATGTTCAGCATCCAAACAACAGAAGGAAACTTTTTGATTCCTGTATTCCAGCATCCAAACAGCAGAAGGAAACTTTTGATTCCTGTATTCTGGCAAGCGCCATGTTTTCAGTGAGTTTAAAATGCAAGAGTGCATTTTATCCTCCATTTTCTTTTAGTTTGATTGGTATGCTTTGGACTTTTCTCCTTAGAAAACTAAGAGGTGAATGTAGAAGCAGTTTTGAAGTATTGGGATGGCAGAGAAGGGAGAAAGCAAGTGTTTCTTAAGTATGGACTTTGAAAACTAAGTGGTGGGGGAATAAAAGCTACTAAGTCCTTCTTACCCCTCTATAAATACCTCAAATGCTGTCACGAAGAGGAAGTACAAGATCTCTTCTCGCTGATACCACAGGGTAGAAAATGGAATAATCAGTTCAAGTTGCAACAACCCAGATTCAGGGTAGATATCAGGAAAAGCTTCCTCACTGTCAGAGCAATGTAACAGTGGAACCAGCTGCCTAGGGAGGTTGTGGGCTCTCCCACACTAGAGACATTCAAGAAGAAACTGGACAGCCATCCGAGTGGGATGGTGTAAGCCGGTGTCCTGCAACAGCAGGGGGTTGGACCCCAAGGCCTCCATGGCTCCTTCCAACTCTACTGTTCTATGATTCTATGGCAAGTCTATGCAGAATAGCCGTAACAGAATATGTATCTTATATGCAATTGTTGGAGCGAGTCAGCACAGTTGGCATTTTGGGTGTGTCCCATGCGCTCAGGAAATGTGCACTGTGCCTCTTTGCAAGATCATTAGTGTGCTAGGCAAGGCCAGTTACAAATCCTCAAACCCCCAAGGAGGCAAAGCTGGAGACTCCAAAGGAAAAGTGACTTGCAAAGACTTCTCTGCATTTCAGGGACTGCAAACTGACGGGGCTCAGATGAGTGGCTGGTACAAGGCAGTGGAGGGACCCGAGGTCCTCGCACACCAGATCCCATCTACTCCATGAGAAGACCGCAGCGCTCGCGTTTCGCACAAATGCACATATAAAGAGCAGCCATGTGTCAACAATCAAACGGAAAATAATAGATTCTTACCTATGGTCACCTCCACTTTAGTTGCAATTCATAGCCCTCTGCTTTTGTGCCTTCAGTCAGAACTACAGCACTCTCTTGAACCTGATGCAACTTCTTAGCAGGGGCAAATTTGCAAAGATTCTAAGGGGAGAAATGTAAATCCTTGAAGCCACTGTGTCTCTGATGTAGCTCACATGGTCCATATCCACCGTGCTTCCAAACAGCATGGGTGAAAATGAAGCCAGAGGCTTCATCCAAGAGAATCTGCATGTGATCCATCAAGAGGTGAGGCTGAGTTTGGGTTAAAGCATCTTATTCACATCTGAGCTGGTCAGTTCCCAGGTGGGAACCTGCACACCACACATGCCTCTGGTCCTGTGTGTGTGTTTATTTGGGAATCCACTCAATGGAGTCAAGCCAGACTTGATTCCTAGCCCTGCTTGACTGTCTCTTGTAAGCCGCTTCGAGTATGCTTTGCTTTAAAAAGTATTTCAATATTGTATCATTCATTCATTGTGAGACTTATCCCTGCCTATGAGAAGTAAGTGCTTCAGTTAGATTTGCACCCAAGTTGCAGCCTCTTTAGGAAAGCAAGCTAAAGCTGAACCCCCTCAATGCTGGGTTGCCGCCCTGTCTGCACTCACTGACACCCGTGGAACTTGCATCTGAGTAGACCTGCCTAGGACTGCACTGCTGGTCTTTCCCAGTCCCACGGGATGGGAGCCAGTTAGTCCAGCTCCGTGGAGCCCTTGAAATCGACGAGAATTTGCCCCATTGATTTAAGTGGATCAAACTGGAGACAGGACAAAACCTACGTCCATTGGAGCCCCTTGCCTTGATCCGCACTCGCGCCACGAACCGCGGCAAGCCTCTTGGCACGTTAGTCCGCGTTCAGTCCTCGAGTGTCTTTCGGATCTCGATGGACTGAAACACCTCACATTTATACCCCGCCCTGTTTCCCTTTCAAGGAACCCAAGGCGGCTTTCATCGTTCTCCTCCTCCCCTCGATCTAATCCCACAACAGCAGCCCTGTGAGGTAGGCTGGGCTGAGAGTCTGCGACTGGCCCAAAGTCACCCAGGTGGCTCCATGGCTGAGCGGGGACTGGGACCCAAAGCCACCGAGTCCCACCCCCGCGCTCTGCATCGCTGCCCTGCGTTCACACAAAGTCGCCTCCTGGGCACGGCCTTCCGAGCGAGCTGGAGCCCCGGTGTGGCCTGCTTGCTCGGCTGTCGCTCCGCTGCAGCGGGTGCACTCGGGCCGGGCTCTCCGCGCAGCGGCGAGGCCCTTTCCTTGCCCGGGGCGCTGCCCGCCTTCCGAGTGAGGGTGCTGCGGCGAGGCGCGCCCAGCCCTCCAGCCCTCCCAGGATGCGCTCGCTGCAGGACTAGCTTAGGCCGTGCCCAAGGTTAGTTCGGCTTTGCGGAGCCCCCACTGGACCGAATGTAGGACGCATCGCTTGCGGCACCCTGGCCATAGCTCAGGGTTAGTATTTCCGTCCAATACAGGGCGCATCTTGAATTCCCGGAGGCCAGCCGACTTCTTCACCGGGCTCTCGAGTAGGTCAGCGGGGAAATCCTTCCGTTGTCGCCCCGACCCTCCTGCTTCGAATAATCCCGCGACAAAGCCGTTTGTGCCTTCCCCGCTCCGCGCAAAGTAGTGCAGTGTTCGAGGAACGGCAGCGAGAGCCTGCAATCTCAACGGATTGCGTATCTCAGCAGAGTGTGCACTGGGAGTCGCTTCGGAGTGTCTCCGGGCCGGATTTCACTCGGCGTCCCTGGATTCGCAGCGAAACGAGCGGCCGGGAGAAGGCGACTGCCTGCGGGAGCGCTGCCCGGGAGAGTGGCTGACGACGCCTTTCCTTTCTGTCTCCCTCCAGGTCATGATGATGGGGAACCCCAGGGTGGCAGAACTGCTGCTGCAGAGAGGAGCAGACCCCAACCGGCCGGACCCCTCCACCGGCTGCCTGCCGGCTCACGACGCGGCCCGCGAGGGGTTCCTGGACACCCTGCGGGTGCTGCACGGAGGCGGCGCTCGGTTCGACCTGCCCGACCACCAAGGCCGCCTCCCGATTGACCTGGCCGCGGCGGCGGGGCACAGCCGTGTGGTCAGCTACCTCTCCGGCGCTGGCGCTCGCTAGGCGGCCCCTCGGCCACCACCACCTTTCTCTCTGCACAGCTTCGCTCCTACGGAGGTCGCTTCTGGGAGAGCTGCTTCGCTTCGCGTGCCTTCCCCTGCCCACCCCCACCCAGTAGCAAATATCCAGAAAGATTTTCTGATGCACACTTTGCATAGCTTAGTCTGCACCCCTTTGTAACCTGTTTGAACCAAACTGGAATTTCTTTCTAAATGAATTATTGCAATTACTCCTGTGCTGCTGCAGAGTCTGTTGCTTGCTAGTTCACCCGCACCTTCTGGAAACTGGTTATGGTCCCAGTCAAACCAGCAATTCACAGTATGAGAACAGGGATTTGGGTTAAGGTGGAAGGCAACCCCCAGCTTGCTTGCTGTTTTGATTATTGGAAATACATTCAAAATATATTCACCTAGGCCGGAGAGAGAGAGGAGAGTGCAATGTTACGCACAGGAAGGCCCACTAGCCCACTCCAGCACTCCTCTGCTGCCCCTGAGCATTTGCCAAAATAATTGGCCTGATTCTCTCTCCTGCATCTGATTGCCTGGATTAGCTGCGCTTTCACTCACATGTACTTCACTTCCTGCTCACCCTGCTCTTCCTGCCACTGCTGCTTTTTTGAAATTCAGTGTTCCTATTTGTTGTTCTTCTCTTGTGGGCCTGAGCCCTGAATCTTTTCCATATCTTGTACTACTCTTGACAATAATGTTTTGAAGACATTGTCAATGTGAATACTGGAATTTTATATGAACTACAGAGAGACAGAAATAAAAAGGAACAATGCAATCCTATATTCATTTATCAGGGGTATTCGCAACATACAGAACACACATTTACAGGGCTGCACTGTCCTATTACATGGCCATTCATGCCTAGCAAGCATGTTTAAGGCTGCAGTCAATAAAGTGTGCACTGGATTTTAGGCTGCAAACACATACAATACCAACATTAAAAAAAAAAAAAAAAAACCTCGAAGCCTGACTCAGATAGTCCGTTTCCCACTGTACTTTACTGGCAGAAGACTGATAATGGTTCATTTTATGAAAGTACTAAAATGCACCGTTACATGCACTTATTTCCTCTGTGCTGAACGCTGCCCGTCTGCTGAACGCTGCCCGTCCCTTGCACGCAATTTGTATTTCCTTACACTGCTGGGAACAATAGAGGGCAAAAGAAGAAGGGGACGGCAGAGGATGAGATGGCTAGATGGAGTCACTGAGGCAGTTGGTGTGAGCTTGAGTGGACTCCGGGGGATGGTGGAGGACAGGAAGGCCTGGAGGAGTGTTGTCCATGGGGTCGCGATGGGTCGGACACGCGACTAACAACAATAACAACAACACTTCAACACCTTGGGCCTCAGCGCTGTGATACGAGATCCCAAAGCTGAAGTACATTATCCAAGGGTGGTGCTTGAAGCTCTGCATGTCCTTTTACATTCCCACGCTATTACAATTGCAAGAAAGCGCCTTAACGATTAAAGCAGCGGCTTGCGAAAGTAGAAATGGACGGAGGACGTTAGTGGAGGAGCCCTTTGCAACGTGGACATGCGAGCCGTCTCAGGGCAGCTGCCCGTCTGAGCGCACCCGGTCTAGACGGTGCAGTCCAGCAGCTTCTACAAGGAGGCCAAGCAAATTTTGTGTCGGGGCGCTTCTGCTTTCTTCGTTTGCATGCCGTCATCTGTGACGACGGCTGCGACCCTGAATAGATCTTCTAGGACCAAGTCCTACTCAGATTAATAGCTAATTTTTGCTGAGCAAGATTGGCTAGAATTGCGAGATAGAGAGATAGGCTTTCCACACGAAAGAAACATTCAGAATCTATGCTAGTGTATTACATTTATGAGGGTAGGTCAAAATGAAGGAGGAAATGCACGCTTTTGAGATATTCGAGTCTCCTCGTCAGGCAAAATGTTGTTAAAAAAAGATGGGAGGGGAGAGAAAATGACCGTATCAGGGCTGTTTAACTGATACAAAGCAAAAATCCTCCCAAAGGCCTATATTTGGGGTGAATTTGTCTAGATGGGTCACATCGATCTCAGCGCTTCTTAAATTCGGACTGATTTTGGTGGAGCCGCTGCAACAACTAGTGTTTGGGATCGCTGGTTGGGACCGAGATACCTTTGCATCTCGCCCTCTGTAGGCTGGAGGTGAGAGTCTGGAACTTTTAGGAGAGCGCCTTCGTTCGCACGCCGCAGGTGCTTCTAAGCTCCGCCGCAAATTCTCAGCCTGGACCCCGTTAAAATGCCCTGGCCGACAGCCAAAGGTTTAAGCGGTTTATTCTAGTCACAAGCGAGGTGATGGCCCGCTCTCGTTCACGGCCTTTCTGGAACACACCTCCTCGTTGACTCATTGAGCGCCCTTGGAGCCGGAGAGAGCTCCGTCCCGCCGCTTTGCCCCCGACGAGCCAAGCACGAGGCTGCATCGCATCCTGCCTTGGGTCTGGCAAGCAAAGGGCGATAGGTGCTTCTCCTCGCGTCCCCCCAGCAATGCTAAAATGGCGTGGCCCGGATCCCACTTCTCGGTGGCCACGTTTCCCCCGCCGCGCTCCGCGTCGCTGCTCCGGCGGGCGCGCAGCAGCGGCTAATGGCGGCCTCGCCCCGCACCCCCCGGCTTTCCAAAGCGGCCTTCCGGAGGAAGCGGCACGGCAGCGAGCGCTCGCCCGTGCGGCAGGGGACGTTGGTGGGCGTGTCTGCCGGGGAGCGGATTGAAAAACGGATTCGAACAAGGGCCGGGAAAGAGCCCGCTGCGAGCCAGGCGCCGCCGAGGGGAAGAGGGCGGGCGCAGGGGCGGGGCGAAGGTCGCAGCGCCGGCCGCGGGGTGAGCGCGGCAAGCGGCCGAGAGCGGCAGGGCTCGGAGCGGCGCGCGCGCGGGTGGGCGCACACCCGCGGCGAAGGTCGCTGCTCCGCCCACGGCCCCCGAGAGGCGCGCTCCGCTCCGCGCCGCCCGCCGCCGCTCGCTGGTTCTCGGAGCGTGTGGAGGGGAATAGGACTATTTTATTTCATGGGCCCATCCGCCTGTTGGGAAGCTTTCTTACGAGGTGACGGAGCGTAGGCCGAGAAGCGGCGCATGACTATCAAGAGCCGTTTCATAAAAAAGCGCAACTCGCGTGACGCAGCTGAAAAATCATTAAGGGAGAGAAAGCATCAGGTCGTGAATGGCACCTTTGTAGACGTGCCTACTCAAAAGTAAGCCGTTGAGTTCAGTGGTGCTTACTCCCAAAGGTATGGGGTACACGATGGCAGTCTCAGAGCTGCCCTCTGTTTGCAAAGGGGTGAGGAATCTTGGCTCTCTGGAAGGCAACCTTCGGGCGGGGGGGGGGGTAATTATCGGGGGCGCAGGTTGGCAGCCGACCAACCCAGAGCCAAAAATGAACAGTGCCACAGCCTTAGTGTCCCCTTCTCTCTCTGCTGTGGGAGGAGCAGGTGGCTCCCATGGGGACCTTTTCAAAATCCCTACTAGGATCAGGAAAAAAGAAATGAAAGAAAATGGGTATGATGGAGAAAGGCTCAACATTTACCACCTGGTGTGTAGTTACTCTAAAGTAACCCCCTTGCTCAGCACCTGGTTTCACTACCAGCACAGGGGGAATTATTTAGGATAGTTGCAAAAGGAAAGCATGTATCTTAAACTTACATTCCTTAAGACCTGTGATTTTCACACATTCCATCTTTAGGGAGTACCTTCCGTAAGGACCTGTCCATCCCCAAACTGTTGTCTTTCATCTGATACCGGCCAAAAGTCTTGTGGATCACCTCTTGGGTCCACCTGAAAGGTGAACAGTCTGGGAGATATGCAGCACTTGCCTAAAGCTACACACTGCAGGAGGTCAACGGCATCATGATTCATCTGCTCACTGAAGGTTCCCTGAGAAATATGCAAGTTCCTCAAAGCATCATTTGAAAAACTGAGTGTTTCTATTTTTCCTCTTTCCATTTGGGGAGTGCCACAGCATTGCAATTAAAACAGAGTAATCAGGGGAGTTAAAAGAATCTTTCCTATTGAGGGTCAAGACCATTGGCCATATTGGCTAGGGCTACCCGCTCCTGTTCTATAGCCTCCAAACTCAAGCCTTTCTCAACCTGGTGCCCTCCCCCCCGCTCCCCCCAGCTGTTTTGGACCTTTGCTCACATCAACTGCAGCCAACAGCTAGGGATTCTGGAAGTTGTAGTCCAAAATAATTGGGTGGTACCTCTGCTTGTTCCAGTTGTAGCATATCAAACACTCTGAGAGACTTAATTTTTTTGAAGCCAACTGTTTCTAAGTATGTAAAATCTCCAGATTTATTATAGGAATGACATCAAAAGGGAATTCACAAGAAATAAGTGGAAGCATCTGCTGCCCAAGCATGCAGGTTATGAAACGACATTCCTTCCACCAAAAGTAATGAGTGATAATATTTAGGGAAAACCCAAAGCTGGTTGTGCTAAGCATGCACATGATCAGAGCAGTCACAAAAAATGCTATTGGGCAAGAACTTGACAGAAAAGTCGGCACTCATTTACTGGTAGGTAAAGTCCCTTCAAGGCTTGAATAGTTTAAAACAATGGAGATACTAATTTTAACAATTGCAAGTACCATATCAATGAAAATCAACTGGAGAGCCCAGGACAACACCATTCCTTCCTCCACCCCACCCCAAGGAAGAAAGGTAGGTATCTTGACTAATTCTGTCGTCTAAAAATCCCACATATAAAAGGTACATGAGTTAGTATCACTGCTCTTTTCATCTTGAACAACCATCAGGCATGTGGAATCTACTTCTGGTTTTGGCTTTTGCTGGAACCTCAAAACCCACCACTTGGGACCTATTGCAAAAGACATTGGCTTACAATTAAACAGTGGCCTTGAGGATTAAAATTTAACAGCACGTGATCCTTCTGCATGAAACTCCATTCCTGATCATTCTGAGCTGTCATAATGGTGGGTGAAGAAAGGGGCACATTTTGTGGCTGCTACTGTCAAAAAGTTGGGAATCAGAAATCCTTGCTGACCTAGCAAGTCAACCCAAAGAGCTACCAGTAGATCCAAATCTGCTTTTTGCTGATCATGATATAGGAAGTTTAAGGTCTGCAATAACAGGTGGCCGCTGTCTGTCAAATGAAGAACTGTGATGTGCGTGCAGTGTGACATCCCAAGGCCAAATAAGGCTGAGGGTCACTTTAAACCATTCTCATTCTTCCAAATCTGTGTGCATGTCTATTTTAAGCCTTTGCTTTCCCTGGATGTCCTGGAGCAGGAATTCAACATCTGGTCTTCTACTTAGCTCCGGTGCCTCATGGGACCCTTTTCATATGACTGGGATCATCTCCAAGTGAGCAGCACAGGCCTCATTGCTGAGAGGCTGCAAGTCTTGGCATGAACTTCACCTGAGAAACTGTTTAGGGGTGTGTGCAGTCCTCTGGCTGCCTCCTCTCCTTCCAAAACTTAGCAGTGCCTCATGCTTCCATCTCAGAAAGGCAAGCATTGCCAAATGGGGCTACATTTCATGGCATGAGGAACAAAGGAAATGACCTTCCTGTTTTTTCTTGTGGTACTCTGCTGGACCAGATGGACCACTTGCATAGAAAGTGGGAAAGGGTCACATGGCTTGACCCTGAATACAGGCAAGCCAGCCTTGTCCCCTTCCCTCCCTGAACATAGGCTCCATGATCATTCAAACCACCCAGATGCAATCGGTTGCTTACATACATGCTATCAAAGGTTGGCAATTATGATGTACTGGGCAGGACTCCATCCCACAAACTCCACTGACCTGGCGCATTCCCGGAATACTAGCCTGAGAAAGTTACTAGTTGTGCGTTCTTCTGGTTTCACTGGTGGGTGTCCCTGCTAGTTTTGGGTAATTTCCCTGGATTCCAACATAGAGAAAGAGGTAACAACCCGTCTCTAATGTAAGAAAAGCTAAGAGGATTGAATGGTGCCATTTTACTTACGACCACTGGCCCACAAAGGTCTCCCTTCACAATATGCTTTTTGCTTTGGCACAAGTGGAAACAAATGATAATTGAACTAACTTCCTATCAACTGCATAGGAGTGAGACATCCATGTTGAGATTGGCAAACTGTATTTTTAGAATGGCTGAAAAAAACTAATAATGCATAGGAAGACCCCCAAATCCACTGTCTCAGTTACTGTGGTTTCACTTAACCGTAGCTGAGCACAATCCTTCACATGCACAGGAGTTAGAAATGCAGGACCCTTGTGAACTGGGAAAACCATGAATACTTCTAGAGAAATACTGCAAGTATCTAGGGAAAAACCATGAATGTCCTTAGGAAAAAAAACTGTGAATATCTCTTTATGCCCACTGAGAGACAAAACATGTGTTTGGCTAGTACCAAGACAAAGGGCATGGCATCCCCAAACAGTCCCTAGAGATATTTGAGGTTTTTCCACTTTTGTGGGGGTCCTACACCCCAATCCTTCTGAATGTGAAGGGCCAACTGTGCAGTCGCTAGTATCTGGTTTCAGACATCTTCTGAGGGGCTTGGAACCTATTCCCTGTGGATACAGGGGTCCTCAAAATATACATCTTTTAAAATCTACTATATCCTTTTTTCTTTTTCTTCCCCTTTCTGTTCAGCAGGCTCCTGGAGAAAGGATAGACAACACTTGCCACAAGTTTGAACTGATTGCTTGCATGAGCTTTTAACATTAGGCTTTTAGTCTGTTCTTACTTTGAATTTCATCAAGTAGTTTCTCTGTTTACCCAGAGTATTCGAGAAGCCTCAATACACCCCAAGTTTCAAACAAAACAGGACACACAGGAGGAGGTGACATTTGGTTTTTATTTGATTAAAGAAGCATGCTCGTTTCTTAAGAAGGCCAATGTGGGCATCAAGCCTACTCTAGCAGATATTTTTTTAAAATTTCATTTATTTCCAAAGGCTCTCTGGGCAGATTACACAGTTAATGAAATGAACTGTATGAAGATCATTGATACTGTTCTAAAAAAGTCAAGCCTAGAACATTCATCAAAGAAATAGCGTACCTTCAAAGTCCAGTTTCGACCCCACCCTCTCCCACAAATGACACTTTAGCGATTAACTGCCACTCTTCATGCCCGTTCCATCGTGTTATGAACTCACATGGGAAAACCAGCAAGCTTCAAGTGTGCATAAATTTTCAGGAAACCCTTTGAAGTGGCCATTCTTAAAAGGTACAGGAATAACAGTAATCATGAACTCTAGAAATCATGTAATATTCTTTGAAAAACTGTCCTTTCCCGTGCACAAGAACATCTGTGCATGAGTTTGGTTTTTTACCACAACTAAATTCTTCTACATCTTTCAATCCAATTACTTATTTCCTGGAGAAGCCATTTGTTATCGCCCAGTGACGCCTTCAGAAACTTCCACCTGCCTAAGGCCTGGCACATAGTCTGAGTGCTTTTGCTGGGAGTAACTATTGCACTGGGGGTGGTTCCTGAACTAGTACGAGGTAGCTTTCTCCAGGATGGTACCCGCCAGGTGTATGGAACTACAACTCCCATTGTTTTCAAGCTAGCTGGAAACAGTAGACACTGCATCACTGATGCAAGGCACATCAGGACTACTCTTGAAGTGATCGTGTGGACCTTCAAGCAGGGGTGCGGGACTCCGGCAGTTGCAAAGTCAGCCTCCTGCTGGTAGGAGGCCTGTACCAGAGCCTCCGATGGAGTTGCTCTACATTCTGTCCATCAGTACACATGCATGTAGGTAATCTTGGATGCTCTCCAAACATCTTTTATTTGTTGTTTATTTTAAGAACATATAGATCACTTCCCCCCACCAAAAATCATAAAGCAGCTTGTAATGGTTAAAAAGACCATACAGTCAAATCCACATGATACATAAGACGTCGAAGGATATCATTGTAAAAAGCACAAAAATAAGAGGTCATTATTTAAAAAACCACATCAACTTAAAAATATCCAAGACACTATCATGAAGGGTCAAAGAAAAATGGCCTTAGCATACTCATAACAATAGAATTGTTTTTTATCTAAAGGCCTCTTTAGCAACCAACCTTTTCCAAATATCTAAATACGTATACATACAGTGTTGAAACACTGCCAATCTTAACCATGAAGACATTCCAAATTTATAGAGATCCCTATGTAGAAGGCAGCTGTTTTTATAAAGTGAATACATTTTATGAAAGATATAAAAATAAAGAAGTACTAAAGGTAATACATTTAACTCAACAACTGTTTCTTTGCATTTAAAAAAATGCACTGAAAGAGGACCTATCAAAGAAACAGATTTACACATTTCTGACTTTTGGCTTTCTTTAGTTCCCCCCTCCTCCCCCCCAACCCCTCTGGAGTTGAGATGGAATAATAGCTAAACTGTATTTTTCTCTCATGTCGACAAAGCATTATTATTATACATTTGCTATTCAATTCATATTCTTCACAATGTCAGTTATTACAGTCAAGTCATTGCCAGTCTGGTAGGAATGTTTCGTTCCTCAAGCTCTATCAAAATGTGTGCCAAAACAAGGCATATATTAGCAAACAATAATGAAAAATGTTGTGTGCCTGAACCACCTTCTTTCAGGGTATTATCACAGTTTCAAAAGATCCATCTTCTTGGTTGTCTTGAATGACTTGCCACACTTTCAATGTTTTGGTAATATAACGGACAACTGCACAGTATTCTGAAACACAAAATTCAGTGGACAAAGTATATTGAGTAGTCCTGTCAAAGCTTTTACGTGCTTTATAAACTATTGCATATTATGTACAACAAAACTTCCTTGAAATTTTATTCCCTCTCCTCCAAGCCCAAGTAAATTGAGACTTCATTGGAACTGTACAGTGAAAGATTATTGGTTAAAAATAATGTATCCTGAAGATAGCTTGTATGATAACTATTATTTTTTTCCAAACACATATGCCTGGAGCCTTGCTTAGCACTGTTAACTCATTCCACCAGAAGAGTCTCATCTCCTAAGGATTTGGCTTTAGATTTTGTCGTATACAAGCTGGTGTTTATGCTTTGCTTCAGTACTGCTACCACCTTTGGCCAGCACAATGAACCAGATAACAAAAGGAAGGAGATCCACTGAAAGCAAACATCTTTTCCTTACAGGAGGCTGTGAAATCTTTAAGCCATAGTGAGGGGCGGTACGTGCTGGAAGTCATTTTGAATACTCCATGGCTTGTTGTGTTGTGTGAACCCAAGAGCCATGGGTTATGTGAGGGTTAAATGCCCTCACACAGCTCAACAACAATAGACCATGGGTTGTGTGCCACAACTAACTCAACTCTAAATATTCCAGAGTGGGCTGTTTTATTGTGCAAATCTGGTTCAGTGTTGGGATCTGAATTTGCAGTATTTCTTCCCACTCCAGGGGTGGGTGGGTGGGTGGGTGGGTGGACAGACAGACAGACAGACAGACATAGAGGAGGGGAGGCTAATAGTTTCCATCTGGTATTTTTGTAGACAATGGGCAACTTAACACACCTGCCCAACTTATGTGTGAGGGTATCTAGAAGCATGTTTCTTTTAGGCTCTCTCTTATTACATGCTTTATACTAGGGTGAAAAATGTGTGGTCCTCTAGATATTGTTCCTGCAACTTCCATCAGCCCTAGGTAGCCCACACAATAGTGAGGACGGTGGAAGCTGCACTCTAACAACATTGAAGGGGCTACATGTGCCCGCTTTCCCTGCCTTATTCTCAGCAGCACATGGAAAGAATCTCACAAATGAAGGTTCTTTGAACACGTGCCTACACAAATGGGATACCTGGTGCTCATCTCCCAATCTTAAAACCATGATGCTTGCTTCCCATGTGTTTCCAGGATCCATTCAAGCAGCTGGTGCTTGTAGCCATAGTCAGCTCCAGGACAGCCTGATCCTGTGCCATTTCCAATGCTCAGAGATCAACAAGGACTCCAGGTTCCCTTGCCCACTTGTGGTACCACAAGAGATGCATGAGAAATCTGGGGGTGGGATTCGCTGAGCTTGGCTCCCTGGACTCTGGTCTGTGTTGATGCAGCCATGAGTCCTGGTTTCTGCACAAACACCAAGCCTTTGTGCTGCTGTACACAACACAGATCAAGTTGCTGGTTATACCACCAGAGTTCTGTGAATGTTTATGGACTTCCTCTCAGCTTGGCTCACTTTGCACTACAGGGCTGAGCAAAAGAGGAAATCCACAAATGCTAGAGGAAGGGATTCCATGGAGCTCCAATGCATCTGGACATACCTCCACAGAGAAGAGGAACAGGGCCTTATCTGTGGTAATACCTAGTCTGTGGTGTGGCCTCCCTTGACCTGTGCATCAAATGCCTGCACATGAGCTCCTGGTACCAGATAAGGAGAATTCAATTTACCCAGGCATTTGAATTCAGCATTTTCTTTTGTCACTGCTGTTCCAGATTCGGCTGCATTTAGCATGAAAACTTCACAACAAAGCTTTTCTCCCCCCATGCAGCCTTGTTTTCTATCTTGTTGCTTATATCTGGCAGTGCTTACTAAGCAAGTCATATCCAGACATGTTTTGTTTGGCAGCCTTGAAAATACACAACAGAACGGCACGGGTACAAATATATAAAATGAAGTAAAATTTAAAATGCCGCATTACTTTCATGGTCTGCAGGGTTTCTGTCCAATCCACGCACCCAATTTGAGGTATAGCAGAAAGCAGTAAGCTAGTCGCTTTATTAGCATTTTCTTTCAATGTCTTCAACACTTTATCCACTGAAACCTGCAAAAACAGCAAAGCAGTCAATAGACTCACATGCTCTGCAATGATGGTTCTGATATCAAGCAGGTTTTCTTGCACTAACCAGGATGCCCAGATTGCAATTCTCTACATGCTTCCCTGACAATAAATCTCACTAAACTTAGTGAGATTTAATTCTAGGATAGGATAGTGCCAACTATGATCAAGCCAACTTTCCTTGGATAGATGCAAACAGACACATTTATCACAGTACTCAGTGACTTTAAACATATGATGGCCAATATCCATTTTGCATCCAGGTCAGCCTCCCTCAAAGAGGCAAAATGGTATGATTATTGCATAACTGCATTTCGTGTAATTGACACCATGATAGGGATAACTGGGTTTGGCCAGCGACCAAGCAAGAGAAGCCATCCGCCCCCTCTCTGTCACGCACCCAGCTCATTCACCCCTGCCCACTTTCTCCTATGTACCTCCCACACAAATGTTTGCTCCTTCTAAATCCTGTGACTTCAGTCCATTGATTCCCACTGAACGCCCCAAATCGCCCCCCCCCCCCCCAGAAATACACTGAAATCATCATCCCTACCCATTCTGGCATTGCCCTTTTCAGAAATGCCCAAGACATTGCCCTTTTAAGAAAAACGTTCCCCTTTATGAACTTCCACTTAGTCCATTTCCCCTGCCCGCCCCCGCATCTCCCCTTGGAGCCAGCCCAAGTGGGGCCATTTGGGGAGCTGGGGGGGGCAGGGACACACCCCCAAAGATTCTGAAGAAACATTCAGAAACAGTTTGACCTAGTACATTTGCAGTTTCTCGTACAAATCAGAAATAGCAGCCAGCTGCTCAGATCTCAATAAGGAATTTATCTTTTAGGGGAGTGTTTTCTTTTTCCCAAACCTTTGCTGGGGCAAAATTACTAAGGTAAGCTCCACATTTGTTGCAACATGATGGGAACTGTCTGTGTGATGTGACTCACTACTGTTTCCACTGTTTCCATTTCTATGATCGCTCCAGGGCATCTGCACAAACAACACCCATGGACATACACTATATTTTGGACTATATAGGATCTAGTAGCTGAACTAGAGGAGCACTTGTTGACCTAGTGTTATGGCTGGGCACAGGAAGTAACTGCCCAGAAAGGTTTGGCTGTGGGTAGTATAGAAATGAAACAAACAAACAAACAATAAAGAGGAGGAGGTTAAAGAGAAATGAAATGCAGGAAGTGTGGATAGTACTTGCATTATTAGCAATTAAGTAGCAATTATTAGTGAATTCCCCAAACCTCTACTGCTGATAACTCAAAGCTTCCTAACTATTATGAAGTAGTTAATATATGCAGATAAAAACAAAAACTATTCTTAATCCCAACTCAAGCTGTGAAAGAAATGAATGTCTTGCTAAACTGTAATTCAGCAGTTTCATGTTCCCTTGGACATCAAGCATGCTTTTACTTTCTTTGTGGTTTTTTTGCTGTCAGGGATGGGAAAAATGGCACCAATCTTCTTAAAATACCCACATTTGCTTTAGACAAGTGGGTCCCATGGCAAAGTATCACACTGATGGGGGTCATGCAAAGCTACCCTGACTTTGAGGCAACAGCGGCTTGCTGGGTTGGCTGTAGCTGTGAAGATATTGTTTGGGTGGCTGAAGTGTGGCTTATAAACCACCCTGACAAATTGTGCCTTCTTGTTGGGTTTGCTACAACATGACTCATCCCTGCCACCACCAGGATCAGCAGCAGGGAGTCTTGTATGACTGCCTTTAAGTGCCACTTGGGCTCTTTGGGCAGCTGTCCTTCCTGTTCTGCTCCCCTCAGTGCTCTTGCATTTCCTGTGATACTAGTGGAAGGACATAGGGGAAAAAGTAGGGTGGAAGTGCCTCAGGATCCCTGTGGTGCCCTACTGTCAGGCACATCATGGACTCTGGAGCAAACAAACCGCATTGCCCAACCGTGCAAGCCTACCTAATGTGGAGTACTTCTGTTCAAGGTGCCAATTAGCCAACTGGACTGTTTCTTATTCCACTGCATCCTCCTGGGTTTTCCATACCCATCCAAGGTCAGTCAGCATTTTGTGTTCGTTAGGTATGCTCAGTCCTCACTGACCTATTCTTTATTCCTCCACTCTTAGGATGCGTGACGTAAGCTGTGGTTTGGGCTGTACCTCTGTGTTCCCCAGATCTGTAGATTGGAATTCACATGCATAGCTTGCACTAACATGACTATGCAAGCATTCACACTCAGAGAATGAGTTCACTGTAAGGGTATCTGTAAGGCAGTGAACTGTCAGGCTGCAGTTCTCATGGCACTTTGCTTGTAGTGCCTGAAATTTTGCTGCGTCTCTGTCTTACAAAGAACCATGAATCCCCTTGAAAACTGAACATACAGTATATCACAGAAGTGAGCACACCCCTCACATTTTGTAAGTATTTTATTATATCTTTCCATGTGACAACCCTGAAGAAATGACACTTTGCTGCAATGTAAAGTAGTGAGTATGCAGCTTGTATAACAGTGTAAATTGGCTGTCCCCTCAAAATAACTCAACACACAGCCATTAATGTCTAAACCGCTGGCAACAAAAGTGAGTACACCCCTAAGTGAAACTGTCCAAATTGGGCCCAAAGTGTCAATATTTTGTGTGGCCACCATTATTTTCCAGCACTGCCTTAACCCTCTTGGGCATGGAGTTCACCAGAGCTTCACAGGTTGCCACTGCAGTTCTCTTCCACTCCTCCATGACGACATCACGGAGCTGGTGGATGTTACAGACCTTGCGCGCCTCTACCTTGCATTTCAGGATGCCCCACAGATGCTCGATAGGGTTTAGGTATGGAGACATGCTTGGCCAGTCCATCATCTTTACCCTCAGCTTCTTTAGCAAGGCAGCGGTCATCTTGGAGGTGTGTTTAGGGTCGTTATCATGGAAATCCTGCCCTGCGGCCCAGTCTGCTCTGCTTCAGTATGTCACAGTACATGTTGGCATTCAAGGTTCCCTCAATGAACTGTAGCTCCCCAGTGCCAGCAGCATTCATGCAGCCCCAGACCATGACGCTCCCACCACCATGCTTGACTGTAGGCAGACACACTTGTCTTTGTATTCCTCACCTGGTTGTCGCCACACATGCTTGACACCATCTGAACCAAATAAGTTTATCTTGATCTCATCAGACCACAGGACATGGTTCCAGTAATCCATGTCCTTAGTCTGCTTGTCTTCAGCAAACTGTTTGCGGGCTTTCATGTTCATCATCTTTAGTAGAGGCTTCCTTTTGGGACAACAGCCCTGAAGACCAATTTGATGCAGTGTGCGGCGTATGGTCTGAGCACTGACAGGCTGACCCACCACCCCTTCAACCTCTGCAGCAATGCTGGCAGCACTCATCCGTCTATTTCCCAAAGCCAACTTCTGGATATGACACTGAGCATGTGCACTCAACTTCTTTGGTCGACCATGGCGAGGCCTGTTCTGAGTGGAACCTGTCCTGTTAAACCGCTGTATGGTCTTGGCCACCGTGCTGCAGCTCAGTTTCAGGGCCTTGGCAATTTTCTTATAGCCTAGGCCATCTTTATGTAGAGCAACAATTCTTTTTTTCAGATCCTCAGAGAGTTCTTTGCCATGAGGTGCCATGTTGAACTTCCAGTGACCAGTATGAGAGAGTGAGAGCGATAACACCAAATTTGACACACCTGCTCCCCATTCACACCTGAGACCTTGTAACACTAATGAGTCACATGACACCAGGGAGGGAAAATGGCTAATAATGCCCAATTTGGACAGTTTCACTTAGGGGTGTACCCACTTTTGTTGCCAGCGGTTTAGACATTAATGGCTGTGTGTTGAGTTATTTTGAGGGGACAGCAAATTTACACTGTTATACAAGCTGCATCCTCACTACTTTACACTGTAGCAAAGTGTCATGTCACATGAAAAGATACAGTAAAATATTTACAAAATGTGAGAGGTGTACTCACTTCTGTGATATACTGTATGTACATCAGGTCAGCAGACACAGTCCCAAACACCTTTTCCTGCGATTTCTCTCCTTTCCCCATCGCCTGGCTTCTTCTTTTCTTCCCTTTGTATCCCCTAGCCTTGCCTGTTTCTCCCACTTCACCCCTTTATCTTGACATTTCTCTTCACTCCCAGCCTAGAGCTTCACCATTTCTCCCCTGCCCACGCTTCTACCCTGCCATTTCTCCACATTCTTCACCTCGCTCTTTCTTTTCCTTTCTCTCCTTTGCTTACTATCTCTCTCTTTCTCATTTTCTAGCGTCACTGTTCCTCTCCTCTGAACTTCTTTTGATTGGCCAGGTTGCTATGGCAGCCATTAGGGTCAGGGCAGCCATTAGGGCCAGGCCAGGGCACGGCCGCCCACCACCACCAGGAAGACACGGCGGCGGGTGATTGTTGTTGGGGACTCCCTGCTGAGGGGCACTGAGGCGGCAGTGTGCTGCCCCAACCTGGAGACAAGGGAGGTTTGCTGCCTGCAGGGCGCATGCATCCGGCATGTGAAGGACAGAGTGGAGCGTCTTGTTCGCTCCGGGGGTCACCAGCCGCTCCTGGTGATCCATGTGGGCATAAACGATGTGGCCAGGCAGGGTGTGGTTGGGACCACCAGGGACTTTGAGGCCTTGGGGAAGAAACTCGGGGAGCTGAAGGCCCAAGTGGCCTTCTCGTCAATCTTACCTGTCCGGGGATTTGGGCCAGGAAGGGACACAGGAGGGCCTCCAAGGTGAACGACTGGCTTAGGGTGTGGTGCCAGAAGGAACGCTTCGGGTTCCTCAACCACGGCACTCATTTTCTTGCCAATGGACTTCTGGCAAGGGATGGGTTACACCTCACGAGGATGGGGAAAAGGTCCTTTGGAGATGCTCTAGCGAGCTTCATCCGGAAGACTTTAAACTGAGACCGGGGGGGGGGGGGGG